GTTGTATTGCTGCAGCTTATCGTTGTCGTGAAGAAAATCATTTGCGAAATTCGTTGGCAATTTATTTCATCAATAACTTATTAAGTGTTGTTGGCAATTAGATCATCAAGGAAGATCTCGAGAAGAAGGTGGTTAGTCCATTTTTTATCTTTATGTTTAGCTTTTTTCCTTAGCTTTTTATTTTATGGTTTCCTGTACTTATTATATTATTTTAGCTTGCATTTACGAATAGAATGTTTTGTCATTCTGCCTGTATATGGTATTGTTCTTTGGACGGATGGGCTTAATTAGCAGCTTTTCTTTTTAAGTAGATTTATACATATATGTGTATTTTGTAGTGATGAAGAAGATGTGTGTGTCCAGCCACTGTGTGCCCCACCTGCCCCTCTTTCCCTTTTCGGTCCTACTCTCATTGAGAGCGAACAGAGTTCCTGTACTGTACGGTGTACGGTTTCTTTAGATGTCTCTGCCCACCCGTTCGCTCCTCATATGCACAACCCCAACTCACCCAATTGATTGGCACTATACTCCCTTAGGGTCTATATAGTCCTTTTAAAAATGCTCACCCGCGCCCTCATTCACATTTCTCTCTTAACCTTATTGGGACAAAGGACTTCTTTGTCCATGTGCGCACATGGGGATGTGCACATATATATAGCCACATTCGTGGAGCAATCGAAGCTGTCGAATGGTCGGACATTTATTTCATTGCTTTCTATTAATTTTTTCCAATTTGGTTTGTAGGAGCAAAATTTCATTTCTTATATTATCAATTATTAAACTTTTTACAGAAAACCGAATGGAAGGTAGAAAGACATCGAACTTCCGTTTTGTTGGAACTGCATAAAGGTATGCGCTTAAACTTGAGTTCTGATAAATTTTAAATTCGGTTTCACCTTTTTTATGATTTTTTATTAGCTTCTCAGAACAGTTTGTGGTGATTTTGTATTTTTGATGCATTGCTGGTCAAATTTATTGCGAACTTGGTTTGTGATAATTTAATAACTTATTTAGTGCTGTTTGATATATTTCATCTGTTTTCTGGACGTGTTCGACGTAATGGCGATATGGATATTATTGGCAGTAAATCAAGCAAGATCTCGAGAGGAACGAACATCAGTTAGTTATTTTTATATTAAACTTTCAGTTATGTTTTGTACTTAGAAGTTAAATATAGGATTAGCAGTTAAATGGAAATGCTTTAGGTATGATTCGTATCATAATGAATTAGACTTTCCTGTTGGGATTATTATTTTACGGCTTTTTAAACTTCTTTTTACTCCATTAAGCATAATGTTATATAAGGTCTTAGTCTTCGTTATTCCAGGTTAAGTCATTTTATACACATACATATGTATATATAGTAGTGATAAAGGCGAGTAAGTGTGTTTGCCTAGCCACTGTGTGCGCCGCGGCCCCCTTATGCCTTTTTCCGTCCTACCCTCACTGAAGGCGAACGGACCAGTTTGTTCAGATGTCTGCGCCCACCCGTTCGCTCCTCCTCACTCATATACACACCTCAACGCTGAGCCCCAATTCACTCAATCGATTACCGCTGTACTCTCTCAGGTCTACCTAGTCTTTTCTAAAAAACACAGGACTTCCTTTGTCCATGTGTGCGCACAACGCAGACAGGGAGGCACACATCGCCACATCCTCATCATTTAGTTATTCGTCAGCAGTCGGACCTGTCGAGCGGTTGGAGATTTATTTTATTACTTTCTATTTTTCAAGTGGGTTTGTAGGAGCAAGATTATTTTTTAGGTTATCAGGTAATAAACTAGCACTCTATTATTTGCAAGAAGCCTAATGGAAGAAGAGAAGGACATTGAGCTTTCATTTGGTTGGAACTGCATGAAGGTATGTGTGCTTGAACACCAATTTTGATATATTTTAAATTCAGTTCCACCTTCTCTACAATTTTTTATTAGTGAATTGATGGTTCGTGGAACAATTTGTGGAGATTTTCTGTTTTTGTTATATTGGTACACAAACTTGGGGATTTGGTTTTTTACTGATCTTATATATTTGTAAGTTTCGTTGGCGAAAACTTAATAACTTTTTCAGTGTTGCTGGAGATGTTTCACCTTGTTCGGCGTCATGGCGATATCGATGTTATTGTACTGGGCATCATGATGGTTGCCCCTTCGATTGGCAAATAGATCAACAAGCAAATTCTCGAAAGGAACGAACATCTAGGTAAGTCAATTTTCCATCTTTGTATTAAGTTTTAAGTTTTTTATTGGTTAGCAGTTAAATGCAGAGCTAAACGTAGGACTAACAGTTAAATTGTGATGTTTTAGATATGTTTCATGTCATAATAACGGACCGCCAGTTAGTATGTTTTTGTTAGATTTTTTGTTTTATGGTTTCCTATACTTTTATTGCTATATTTTTGTGGTTGTAATGTTTTTCTATTACTTTCTATGTTTTTATTTGTGCCAAATTAGTACTAAGTCTGTGAGAAATAAATAGGGCTGAAAAATGTGAGAGGAGGGATGCGTGGGATAGTGCAATACGGGAGACGGATGGCCGTTGGGAAGACGAATGCAGACGGGGGCGGGTCTAGGATTGCAGGCAGAGTAACGCGTAGTACAAAAATGTGAGGGCAGGGATGCGTAAGATAGAGAAGGCGACAGGCGATTGATAGGGCGTGGATGGGTGTGAGGGATACAGGCAGGGGCGGGTCCAGTAGTCCGGGCGTTTACTCCAGAGGGTAGGGATGCGTAGGATAAGGAAGTCTTTCAGATATTATAGGTCTAGAAATGCAGGCGGGGCGACGCTTACTCCAGTTACTCTGTATTTTTTTCTATGTGTTTCCTGTGGTGATGAGGCGTAGCCTGCTACCCTTCATCACCCGCTTTGCTTGCTCTCTTTCTCTTTCTTTATTTGCTCTTTTCCTCTCCCTTTTAATCTCTGATAGATCTCAATCTTGTATTTTCATATTATGCGTCTTGTATCATTTGTTTGTAGAAAAAACTGGCAAAACTAAGAAAAGAGTTTTTTTGCTCAACCTTTTAATGATGCAAATATCTAATATACGCCATTTTGAATGATTCGATAATCTTTCTTTATAAACAAACAATTGGAACAGAAGAAAATGAGAATGTAAAGATAAAAGATATGAATAATGCAAATTGGACAGATTGAAACTGTTTGATCTTTGGTCTTCAATTCCAACATATCTGAGATAAAAAGCTTTCATTTGAGCATTTCTGTCATTTCATAAAATTCTGTGTGACCGTATTCCTTACTACATAATAACCAAATGATTTTTGACAAGAATTTTTCAGATAAGAGAATGCATATTTGTCATTACCCCGAGTGTAATGTGATGACGGAAAATTAAAAAGAATATGTAATACGTAAGAAAACACACGGTCAGCCTTTCATCTGTGAAAATCTATGAAGATCAGTCTCAGATTTTGATTCTTTACTAATGACAAATATACTTTCTCTTATCTGAAAAGTTCTTGTCAAAAATCATTTGGTTATTATGTAGTAAAGAATACGGTCGCACGAAATTTTGTGAAATGGTAGAAATGCTCAAAATATATAATATCCATCATTTGGTTCAATTTTGTACTTTGCAACGGTTCTAATAAAAAAAATTGAGGATATAAGCAGTAAAGAATCGAAATCTGAGACTGATCTTCATAGATTTTCATGGATGAAGGGCTGACCGTGTGTTTTCTTACGTATTACATATTCTTTGTAATTTACCGTCATCATATTACACCCGGGTAATGACAAATATACTTTTTTCTCTTATCTGATAAAATTCTTGTCAAAAATAATTTGGTTATTATGTAGTAAAGAATACGGCCACACAGAATTTTGTGAAATGACAGAAATGCTCAAATGAAAGCTTTTTATTTCAGATATGTTGGAATTGAAGACTAAAGATCAAACAGTTTCAATCTGTCCAATTTGCATTATTCATATTTTTTGTCTTTACATTCTCATTTTCTTCTGTTCCAATTTGTTGTTTATAAAGAAAGATTATTGAATTACTCAAAACAGTGCATATTAGATAGATGCAACGAGATAGTTGGAACAAATTTGTTTTTTTTTCCATAGCAATTACAATTAATTAAGATCAATTTTGGTACACCTCTTTTTCTTGTCAATTAATCAGTCATCATAAACAAATAGATTTATATTATCTTATTTACTGAATCTATCGATCTGCTGTAATTGTATGGTGTAGCCCATTCAATCACACTTGAGCTCTTCCTCATTGCTTTCGCACTTGCGTCAAATATCATTTTGATAATAACTTCATTGCACCAATTCGTCCTGCTAACAATGATAAAGATCTTCTTGGAAGCTTCCACTTTTACTTTTGAATATTTGCAATCATTTAATCGACATATCTGTGATATCTGTAACATTAATATTATATAAATGCCACATCGTGATTTCCAGGATCCTGAAGCATCTATAACGGTCAAGTAATTTCTTGAAAACGACTCATCTCATTCTGTCACTAATGCATTCATTGTTTCGCTGCAAAGATAGCACTTTTAAATTTAAACTTTGACTACGTGCATTATTGTACCAGTGCTGCTCTATGAAAAGTGATAAGTGATGCAGGATGATGTTATTCGAGCTTATCTGTGACATCATCAGCAGCACAGCAACAACGATTGCCAAATGCAATCGTACAATAATCAATCTTACATTCTAGTGGCATAAAAATGAAATTTACAATTAAATTATCATAATTCCGTATATTAGATAATATTACAAATTGCATTAAAATGCATTACTGAACTCCTTCAATTCTAATTTTTTGTTTGCAACGATTTGAAGCGGTTTACTTTGAAGCGGTTTTATTTTTAGAGTAAATAAAAAGGATTTTCTGAAAATGAGTGAAAGATCAGAAACAGGTGATGATGAATTGCGCAACGACTTTTCGTTCTATCTCTTATAGTTCTTCAATTTCATTAATTGCAAAAACAAATATCTTAAAAGTTTTTAGACAAACGAAGCTATGAATGCCTCTATCCTGGGTGTGCTGTGATCGCCGCGAAAAGTTACAACGAATATATATAACACATAGGAAGACACATGGTCAACCTTTTATCTATGAATGCAAAGTGCCCGGTTGTGGGCGAACATTCAACTATGGACCATCATTTCGCAGTCACAAACAGACGCATGAGCCTAATCCTCAGTGCAAGATTGTGGCAAATTCTTCGCCACCAGGAATACACTGCAATATCATAAGAGCATCTGCCAAACAAAATCTCGTTAGTTTGCAAATTTAACAAAATTTTAAACACATATGTGAGTCTGAAATGGAGTGCCTGTGAAATGTACTATGGAACATCCGTGACCGTTGAACCAAGATAGTTGATACAACGGAAAATTCACAATTACATTTTGTTGCAAGGCTGTTGAAAGGACTTAAATTTATACTGCCGTTTATATCCATCTCTTTCACAGATATCATATCTTCTAGCAGAAATTCCTTCAGTTTTTCCTTGAGAAAATTAGTCGTGAACTTTGTTGTATACTTGGGACATTGTAACTCTTTCCACAGTTAAGGCACTGCATCGTAATGGTTTCATGTGCATGCGTAATTATTATTCAAATAAATCTTCCTTCCTTGAGCAATAAAACTTACACCAGCAATTAATAGCTCAATACCTGGCATAGTTTCATCTGCAAAACCAATACCAAGGTCAGTCATAATCCACTTGCCTCGGTTTTTAAGTAATCTAATAATATATGGTATCTGTAAAGAGGTGGATATAAACGTTAGTATAAATTTAAGTCCTTTCAACAGCCTTGCAACAAAATATAATTGTGAATTTTCCGTTGTATCAACTATCTTGGTTCAGCGGTCACAGATGTTCCATAGTACATTTCACAGGCACTCCATTTCAGACTCACATATGTGTTTAAAATTTTGTTAAATTTGCAAACTAACGAGATTTTGTTTGGCAGATGCTCTTATGATATTGCAGTGTATTCCTGGTGGCGAAGAATTTGCCACAATCTTTGCACTGAGGATTAGGCTCATGCGTCTGTTTGTGACTGCGAAATGATGGTCCATAGTTGAATGTTCGCCCACAACCGGGCACTTTGCATTCATAGATGAAAGGTTGACCATGTGTCTTCCTATGTGTTATATATATTCGTTGTAACTTTTCGCGGCGATCACAGCACACCCAGGATAGAGGCATTCATAGCTTCGTTTGTCTAAAAACTTTTAAGATATTTGTTTTGCAATTAATGAAATTGAAGAACTATAAGAGATAGAACGAAAAGTCGTTGCGCAATTCATCATCACCTGTTTCTGATCTTTCACTCATTTTCAGAAAATCCTTTTTATTTACTCTAGAAATAAAACCGCTTCAAAGTAAACCGCTTCAAATCGTTGCAAACAAAAAATTAGAATTGAAGGAGTTCAGTAATGCATTTTAATGCAATTTGTAATATTATCTAATATACGGAATTATGATAATTTAATTGTAAATTTCATTTTATGCCACTAGAATGTAAGATTGATTATTGTACGATTGCATTTGGCAATCGTTGTTGCTGTGCTGCTGATGATGTCACAGATAAGCTCGAATAACATCATCCTGCATCACTTATCACTTTTCATAGAGCAGCACTGGTACAATAATGCACGTAGTCAAAGTTTAAATTTAAAAGTGCTATCTTTGCAGCGAAACAATGAATGCATTAGTGACAGAATGAGATGAGTCGTTTTCGAGAACGAATATATATAACACATAGGAAGACACATGGTCAACCTTTTATCTATGAATGCAAAGTGCCCGGTTGTGGGCGAACATTCAACTATGGACCATCATTTCGCAGTCACAAACAGACGCATGAGCCTAATCCTCAGTGCAAGGATTGTGGCAAATTCTTCGCCACCAGGAATACACTGCAATATCATAAGAGCATCTGCCAAACAAAATCTCGTTAGTTTGCAAATTTAACAAAATTTTAAACACATATGTGAGTCTGAAATGGAGTGCCTGTGAAATGTACTATGGAACATCTGTGACCGCTGAACCAAGATAGTTGATACAACGGAAAATTCACAATTACATTTTGTTGCAAGGCTGTTGAAAGGACTTAAATTTATACTGCCGTTTATATCCATCTCTTTCACAGATATCATATCTTCTAGCAGAAATTCCTTCAGTTTTCCTTGAGAAAATTAGTCGTGAACTTTGTTGTATACTTGGGACATTGTAACTCTTTCCACAGTTAAGGCACTGCATCGTAATGGTTTCATGTGCATGCGTAATTATTATTCCAAATAAATCTTCCTTCCCTTGAGCAATAAAACTTACACAGCAATTAATAGCTCAATACCTGGCATAGTTTCATCTGCAAAACCAATACCAAGGTCAGTCATAATCCACTTGCCTCGGTTTTAAGTAATCTAATAATATATGGTATCTGTAAAAGAGGTGGATATAAACGTTAGTATAAATTTAAGTCCTTTCAACAGCCTTGCAACAAAATATAATTGTGAATTTTCCGTTGTATCAACTATCTTGGTTCAGCGGTCACAGATGTTCCATAGTACATTTCACAGGCACTCCATTTCAGACTCACATATGTGTTTAAAATTTTGTTAAATTTGCAAACTAACGAGATTTTGTTTGGCAGATGCTCTTATGATATTGCAGTGTATTCCTGGTGGCGAAGAATTTGCCACAATCTTTGCACTGAGGATTAGGCTCATGCGTCTGTTTGTGACTGCGAAATGATGGTCCATAGTTGAATGTTCGCCCACAACCGGGCACTTTGCATTCATAGATGAAAGGTTGACCATGTGTCTTCCTATGTGTTATATATATTCGTTGTAACTTTTCGCGGCGATCACAGCACACCCAGGATAGAGGCATTCATAGCTTCGTTTGTCTAAAAAACTTTTAAGATATTTGTTTTTGCAATTAATGAAATTGAAGAACTATAAGAGATAGAACGAAAAGTCGTTGCGCAATTCATCATCACCTGTTTCTGATCTTTCACTCATTTTCAGAAAATCCTTTTTATTTACTCTAGAAATAAAACCGCTTCAAAGTAAACCGCTTCAAATCGTTGCAAACAAAAAATTAGAATTGAAGGAGTTCAGTAATGCATTTTAATGCAATTTGTAATATTATCTAATATACGGAATTATGATAATTTAATTGTAAATTTCATTTTTATGCCACTAGAATGTAAGATTGATTATTGTACGATTGCATTTGGCAATCGTTGTTGCTGTGCTGCTGATGATGTCACAGATAAGCTCGAATAACATCATCCTGCATCACTTATCACTTTTCATAGAGCAGCACTGGTACAATAATGCACGTAGTCAAAGTTTAAATTTAAAAGTGCTATCTTTGCAGCGAAACAATGAATGCATTAGTGACAGAATGAGATGAGTCGTTTTCGAGAACGAATATATATAACACATAGGAAGACACATGGTCAACCTTTATCTATGAATGCAAAGTGCCCGGTTGTGGGCGAACATTCAACTATGGACCATCATTTCGCAGTCACAAACAGACGCATGAGCCTAATCCTCAGTGCAAGGATTGTGGCAAATTCTTCGCCACCAGGAATACACTGCAATATCATAAGAGCATCTGCCAAACAAAATCTCGTTAGTTTGCAAATTTAACAAAATTTTAAACACATATGTGAGTCTGAAATGGAGTGCCTGTGAAATGTACTATGGAACATCTGTGACCGCTGAACCAAGATAGTTGATACAACGGAAAATTCACAATTACATTTTGTTGCAAGGCTGTTGAAAGGACTTAAATTTATACTGCCGTTTATATCCATCTCTTTCACAGATATCATATCTTCTAGCAGAAATTCCTTCAGTTTTTCCTTGAGAAATTAGTCGTGAACTTTGTTGTATACTTGGGACATTGGTTAAGGCACTGCATCGTACATGTGCCGCAATGCAACTCAATACCTGGCATGTTTCATCTGCATACAATAATTGCTCGCCTGCAATAAATTTAAGTCCAACAGCCTTTAGTGAAATCAACCTGATGATAGTACATTTCATCCAAGACTCACATTTAGCCTGATATTGCAGTGTATTCCTGGTGGCGAAGAATTTGGCACTTTCATTCTACTGCGCCATAGAAATTTATTCATAGATTTGACCATATGTCAACAGCATATTCATAGCTTCGTTTGTCTAAAAACTTTTACATGAAATTGAAGAACCTCGTTGAGTTTCTGATCTTTCACTCATTTTCAGAGAAATTTAAAGTAAACCGCTTCAAATCGTTGCAACTCAGTAATGCAGCAATTTGTAATATTATCATATACGGAATTATGCATTGCCACTAGAATAAGATTCGATTGCTTTGGCAATCGTTGTTGCATGATGTCACAGATAAGCTAAGCATCACTTGAGCAGCACCAATAATGCACGTAGTCATGTGCTTGCAGCGAAACAATGAATGCATTAGTGACAGCGATTGTAGATGCTTCTTAGGAAATACGTGTAAGGCAGTGCAATAATTTGCCTCTAATAGTCCAAATAATGCATCTGTTTAGTTCTGTAAAATGACCATAAGGTCAGCACTGGCCAAATGCCTTGGCAATTAATATCAATACCATAGTTTCATAATCAGTCATAATCCACTTGCCTCGGTTTTTAAGTAATCTAATAATATATGGTATCTGTAAAAGAGGTGGATATAAACGTTAGTATAAATTTAAGTCCTTTCAACAGCCTTGCAACAAAATATAATTGTGAATTTTCCGTTGTATCAACTATCTTGGTTCAGCGGTCACAGATGTTCCATAGTACATTTCACAGGCACTCCATTTCAGACTCACATATGTGTTTAAAATTTTGTTAAATTTGCAAACTAACGAGATTTTGTTTGGCAGATGCTCTTATGATATTGCAGTGTATTCCTGGTGGCGAAGAATTTGCCACAATCTTTGCACTGAGGATTAGGCTCATGCGTCTGTTTGTGACTGCGAAATGATGGTCCATAGTTGAATGTTCGCCCACAACCGGGCACTTTGCATTCATAGATGAAAGGTTGACCATGTGTCTTCCTATGTGTTATATATATTCGTTGTAACTTTTCGCGGCGATCACAGCACACCCAGGATAGAGGCATTCATAGCTTCGTTTGTCTAAAAACTTTTAAGATATTTGTTTTTGCAATTAATGAAATTGAAGAACTATAAGAGATAGAACGAAAAGTCGTTGCGCAATTCATCATCACCTGTTTCTGATCTTTCACTCATTTTCAGAAAATCCTTTTTTTACTCTAGAAATAAAACCGCTTCAAAGTAAACCGCTTCAAATCGTTGCAAACAAAAAATTAGAATTGAAGGAGTTCAGTAATGCATTTTAATGCAATTTGTAATATTATCTAATATACGGAATTATGATAATTTAATTGTAAATTTCATTTTTATGCCACTAGAATGTAAGATTGATTATTGTACGATTGCATTTGGCAATCGTTGTTGCTGTGCTGCTGATGATGTCACAGATAAGCTCGAATAACATCATCCTGCATCACTTATCACTTTTCATAGAGCAGCACTGGTACAATAATGCACGTAGTCAAAGTTTAAATTTAAAAGTGCTATCTTTGCAGCGAAACAATGAATGCATTAGTGACAGAATGAGATGAGTCGTTTTCAAGAAATTACTTGACCGTTATAGATGCTTCAGGATCCTGGAAATCACGATGTGGCATTTATATAATATTAATGTTACAGATATCACAGATATGTCGATTAAATGATTGCAAATATTCAAAAGTAAAAGTGGAAGCTTCCAAGAAGATCTTTATCATTGTTAGCAGGACGAATTGGTGCAATGAAGTTATTATCAAAATGATATTTGACGCAAGTGCGAAAGCAATGAGGAAGAGCTCAAGTGTGATTGAATGGGCTACAGCAGATCGATAGATTCAGTAAATAAGATAATATAAATCTATTTGTTTATGATGACTGATTAATTGACAAGAAAAAGAGGTGTACCAAAATTGATCTTAATTAATTGTAATTGCTACGGAAAAAAAAACAAATTTGTTCCAACTATCTCGTTGCATCTATCTAATATGCACTGTTTTGAGTAATTCAATAATCTTTCTTTATAAACAACAAATTGGAACAGAAGAAAATGAGAATGTAAAGACAAAAAATATGAATAATGCAAATTGGACAGATTGAAACTGTTTGATCTTTGGTCTTCAATTCCAACATATCTGAAATAAAAAGCTTTCATTTGAGCATTTCTGTCATTTCACAAAATTCTGTGTGGCCGTATTCTTTACTACATAATAACCAAATTATTTTTGACAAGAATTTTTCAGATAAGAGAAAAAAGTATATTTGTCATTACCCGGGTGTAATATGATGACGGTAAATTACAAAGAATATGTAATACGTAAGAAAACACACGGTCAGCCCTTCATCCATGAAAATCTATGAAGATCAGTCTCAGATTTCGATTCTTTACTGCTTATATCCTCAATTTTTTTATTAGAACCGTTGCAAAGTACAAAATTGAACCAAATGATGGATATTATATATTTTGAGCATTTCTCTCAATTCACAAAATTTCGTGCGGCCGTATTCTTTACTACATAATAACCAAATGATTTTTGACAAGAACTTTTCAGATAAGAGAAAGTATATTTGTCATTAGTAAAGATTATACTACTCAGATTACATTATACTCAGATTATAATTCTGTTATACTCAGATTATAATTCTGTTATACTCAGATTATAATTCTGTTATACTCAGATCATAATTCAGTCATACTCTGACCATAATTCATGTATACTATGATTATGACTAGTTATACTCATACTCAGATTATAATTCTGTTATACTTAGATCATAATTCTGTTATACTCAGATTATAATTCTGTTATACTCTGATTATAATTCAATTACGCTCAGATTATGATTCTG